GGGGGAAGCAGTCAAAATAGTTGATATGTTAGCATACCATCTTACCGAGTGTGCTGTCGGCCCTGTCAGCATTTTAAATTTAGTTCATGTAGGATGCGTAGAGACGTCAGTGGTATTGCACCTAGGTGTCATGGCGGCCATGTTGCCCACCTGTAACGTGGATTTTTCACGGTTATGTTCACGAGTTCACGAGCTTCACGAGGCTGATGCGTTTGATGGTCTATGGTTGGTATAGAGGTATAGAGCGTATAGAGTGTGATGAGAAGACGATTGACGCACTATAGATACGTATTGATTAATCTATATGTAGAACTGTACTTTTAGACTTACCATGTGCAGTTTACAGCAATGAACCATGACGAATTAGACAACAACATTAGTTTCAGGCATAAGCAAGGAATCAATTCTAACTGCATTAAATTTTTGGGTTTATATATCGATAACAAATTAACTTGGAAGAATCATATTGATTATCTCATTGCTAAACTAAGTTCAGCATGCTTTATAATGAGGGCAGTTAAACCCATGTTGGCCTACAGCAGTCTGAGGATGCTTTACTTTGCTTACATACACTCCATCATGACTTATGGTATTATTTTTTGGGGTAATTCTCCAGATAGTATAAAAATTTTTAGGATACAAAAAAAGGTAATAAGAATAATGAAGGGCTTGAAGAAAAGAGATTCGTGTGGGCATTCATTACAGGAAATGAAAATTTTACCTTTGTGTTCTCAATAACTGTATTACCTGGTGCAATACATTGTAAATAATAGAGACATGTTCTTAAGGAATTCTGAAATTCATAGTATCGGTATTAGACAAAACAACAATTTATTTCCCCCAAGTTTTTCTATGACTAAAGTTCAAAGGAGAGCTTATTGCTCAGGCATAAAGATCTTTAATCACTTACCTGCGAAACTCAAAGAATTATCTAATGATCAAAAATCTTTTGAGGCAGCCTTAAAGATATTCTTATATGCTGGTTCTTACTACTCACTGAAAGAGTATTTTAATTATCAAACTCTCGAAATATAGATGTTGAAGTTTACATATATTTTTTAGTTTTGATCTGTTTCATTCTGGTCCGTCACACTACCAATTATAAATACAAACCACTGTGTCCAATGTGACATAAGTTTTACTACATGGAAACCTATCACCCTCACATGTTTCGGTCCTTATGGACCATCTTCAGAGGGAAGATCATTACAAGCTGGAAACTACTATCACAATAGGTGTTTTGATTTAAATACACTTATATCCTATAATGCACAGTACACATAAAGTCGAACATTTCACAATCACAGCAGCTTCCTGGTATTGTAAAGTTTTTAAAAGATTTCTAGATGTTGTTAAAAAAAACTTATTGTCAGTAGTTAAAATTTATAAACCACGTAGGTTCGTGTCTGTACTCCTATCGTCCTTCTTGTATGGGGCAGATATTTGTGCAGATATCTGCCCCATACAAGGACTACAGGAGTATGGACACGAACCTACGTGGTTTATAAATTTTAACTATTGACAATAAGTTTTTTTTTAACAACATCTAGAAATCTTTTAAAAACTTTACAATACCAGGAAGCTGCTGTGATTGTGAAACGTTCGACTTTATGTGTACTGTGCATTATAGGATATAAGTGTATNGTTTAACCTACTCAGTTGGGCCCCTTAGAAAGAGCTAGTCTCAATCACTGGACAAACCTTGATCTGTAGAAACAACCTATGAACAACCGACAACCGGTTCCGTCAGTGGGAGGAAAGAATAAAATCGCAGTAAAAACATGATAGAAAATTTGTGCCAAACATGCACTTGTCAACAATGTAAAGAAACAGAAGTATGGGTTATATTCCATGAATTCAGTTAAAAACGAAAGTAAAAACTGGATAAAGCATGCCTGATCTGCATGGATAAAGAATCGTGCCACCATGGCGACTTCCGGGAATCAGACTAATCCCCGGAAGAAAACTTGCAGTAGTAGTGGAACCACTAATATCCTAGAATCCTTTCAAGTCTATATGGTCCATAAGGAACGAAACATGTAAGGGTGATAGGTTTTCATGTAGTAAAACTTATATGTCACATTGGACGGAGTGGTTTGTATTTGTCTTTTTTAGTTCTTTTAACTTTTTGGTATGTTTACCCGTACCTGTCTATGTTGGTCAAGTGCCCCATGGATTTGTTTCTAGCATAAAAGCAATCTGTATATCTCTTTTTTTTTAATACATTTGGACAAGTGCCCTATTGCACAGTTGATCATGTATCTTTGCAGAGTGTATTAATTATCACTGTATTTTTACTTCTAAGCATAAATACTGAATTGTACTTGTTTCTTTTATAACTTTTCTGGATTGTTAGTATATTTTTTTTATTTGTTTTATTTGCATGTTATACAATGTATTATGTATGTTGCTGACGAGTGCACTATTGCACATCTATTTGCATATACTTAATGACGGTAACTACAGCCGTTGGAATTGTAATCCTTATGGATATATGGTGGACTAATAAATAATAATAATAATAAGACATAATAGTTTTTTTAAATGTGAAATTTGCAGACTTCCATTACCGAAATAACGTAGAGAATAGCGTAGTCGGAATAGCAACTGGCTACTGGCTGGATGACCAAGGGGTTGGAGTTGGAATCCCAGTAGGATCAAAAATTTTCCCCTCCCCACGCCGTCAAGACTAGTTGTGGGGCCCACCCAGCATCCTTTCCAATGTGCACCAGGGGGCTCTTTCCCCGGGGTTAAAGCGGCCGGGCCGTGAAGCTGACCACTCACCTCCAACTAGTGCCGAGGTCAAGAAAATATAGGTCTATAGATCCATTTCCCCATACGCCTTCATTGTGCAGTGCTTAATTAGTTAAGCTCAGGAACAACTTTACTTTTCTACATTTTAAAATTTAGAGTCATCTCTTGGGTTAATTAATTGTGTGCCTTGTAATGAAGACGTGGGAGCAAATGTATAACTCTACCACTGTTAACCTCCGCACTAGATGGAGGGGAGTGGTCAGCTTTCTACCCCTGCTGGTTTACCCCCAGGAGAAACAGCCCCAAAATGCATTGTATGGGAGGTGAAGCAGGCCCCAGAGCTGCTATGGATGTTAGGGAGAAGAGAAAAGTCTCTTGCCCCTACTGGGAATTGAACTGTGAAACCTTGGTTCTCCAGTCCATAGCCTAGTCACTATGTTAACCAGGCTGTCCCAGCTACAATGTAAAATGAGAAGCTTTGAAAACAGGGATCTGAAGAGAATATTTATATCTAAGAAGGCGGTAGAAGGGGACACTGGACAAAGCTGCATGATGAGGCTCTCGGTAATATTGACTTCATCAAACATTACAATGTCAAATCAAGGAAGATGAGATGGCATGGCATATGGCATTTATAAGGGAGAAGTGTGAACAAGGCTTTGGTAGGAAAGACACCTCTAGGGATACTTAGGCATATGAGGTGTAATAATATAAAAATGGCCTGAAAGAAGTACTGCATGAGGGTGTGGACTGGATTCATCTGACACATGATAGGGCCCAGTGGTGGGTTCTTGTGAACATGGTATTGAACCTCTGGTAGCATAATCATCATCATCATCAATAATCTGTTAAGACGACAGGTCCACAGTCTCTTCCAAAGCAATTCCTCCACTTAATGCGATCTAGAGCTTTCTCCTTCAAATGACAGTATCCTCTTCTGTCCCCAAGGTCATCCAACATCTTCTTACATCTTCTCCCTCGTCTTCTTGTCACTTCTATCCGCCCCTCTTGTCTTTCCTTCGATAACTTCTTTTAGAAGGCAGTTTCTGCGTAAAACATGACCAATCCAATTAGCCTTCCGTTTTCTTATTTCGTGTAAGATATTCCTCTGCTCACTGACTGTAATTAACACTTCTTCATTTCTCACCTAATCGGTCCAACTGATCTTCTCCATCCTTCTGCAACACCACATTTCGAAACTTTCCAGATGTTTCTGATCTACTGCCCTAAGTGTCCATATTTCAGCCCCATACAGAGCTATGCTCCAAATGTAGCATTTCACT